GAAAATCTCAGATCGACACTGATGTCCAGACGTTCTCGTTTCTATTTCAAATTATACTCCGTTTTAAGAAGTTCAACGACACTCAGTTTGCCAAGATTAGAAATGTTCCGTGTTGTTCATGTTTCCATGCTATATATATATATATATATATTACAGCTGACAAAGGAGGTTAGTATTTTTCACACCATAAAATCTGAATCTTTCAGAAGAATATCTAGACGTTTTGTGAAAGTGTCAATAGTCTAAAGCAATGCCATAAATATTATATGATCGTTATAAATATTTCTACAAAATAGTGTTATGTTTGAAGCTTACTTTATAGTCTTAAATAGATCTATGTAACTTTTAAACAGACTTCGTGAATGACTTGACCCGAGTCAACAAAATTCGAGTTAAACCACACTGAATATGAGAACAGTGATATAACCTTGTTGGCATTACTGTTCACGACTGCATTGTTTGTGGTGTTTTTATGTAGAAAAAAAAGTATCCGCGCCCAAGATTGTAAAAGGAATGTTTGTTCACATACCTTCTCAGCTGTTCTATCTGAATAAACACAGAAAACATTGAGCAAACGCAAGACCGTCCTTTTCCATGAGATGTCTCAAAATATCTTTCTTACTCGAAAATATTGGCTATTATTTACAATTTATTTGAGGCCTCCTATGAGCAGGTTGTTACAGCGCTCGACTCGCAATCTGCGGGTCGCAGGTTCTAATCCCCATCCCACCAAACGTGCTCGCCCTTTCAGCCGTGGGGGGCCTTTATTATATGACGATCAATCCCACTATTAGTTGGTAAACGAGTGGGCGGTGATGAGTAGCTGTCTTCCCTCTAGTCTTTCACTAATATATTAGATAGCCCTCGTGTAGCTTTGCGCGAAATTCAAAAACAAACAATAAATTTATTTATCGTTTATGCTGATACGAAACTCTGCAAAAAATGTCGGGCCAGTTTTCGATTTCTATTTTGATAAATATTCTGTTAAACTGAAGTTTAATTACTGATAATACTACTTACATTTGTTTGATGTCAGTTGCCGTAGCTTTAATAACTGTGAATTGTATAGATAACTTTAAACATACCTCATTGAATCTTTATCTGCATACAGTATTCTCAATATTAGTCTTCTGTAAGACACGGATCAGTTGATTTAGTAGAGAATGTATTGATTTTTTTCTGATTTGTGTTTAAGCGTTTTGGACTCTCAACACACAATTGTGAGAAAAGTTAATTTATCTGTCTGATTTTCGTTTTAAAGTAAATATAGATTTTCTACGCGTGTTCAAAAATCGTTTGTAATGTTGTTTTTATTTCATGTTGTTGTCATAAACAGAAAAAAAAGTTGATATTCGTCAAAACATGAAAAGAAACTGAGTAAACTTGGAATGACAGAAACGATGGACACATGTAATACTTAGGAAGATGAAAATAAAACATTGACACTGTCGTAATGCTGTGGGGTTGATATTCTTGCTATAAATTTGGTACATCTAGCATTCAAACACTTTTCCATCATTTCATCGTGATACGAGGTTATATACGTATAGGGTAGAAATGGGTAAGGTAGTTGCTATACGCTGTACAAATACGATCAATAATAATAACAAACCAGGACGTAACTAGGACAGCTGAGAAATACGCCCCCGTGTGTTTCACGTGCGCTGCAGCTATCAATCCATACCCAGAAAATTGTAGTTTCTGGTTAGGTGCAAGGGAATTTTGGATTAAGCTTAATCACAGAGATTACAATTATTATTATTATTTTGCATGGTCCCAAGATATTTTTTTCTTCTTACTTTAGTATTTTACCTTAAGCCTAAAACTTCAAATAAAGTAATTTGTTGTTTCCGATTATTTGTCTTAAGAAAGTTTATAGTTGGAAGCCACCGAATAAAGTACACGATTTGAACGTTTACATCCATCACTTGCTACATGAGCCCGCTATGAACTAAACTTTTACTATTGATCAGCTATAAGTATCTAGTTTACAACACCCTCGTCTACTTGCCAGTCGCTAGTTGGTTTTGTAAAAATAAGTTTAAGCTAGAAAAGCACTACCAAAGGTGAAAAATGTCGGTGGTCGTTTTTAAGTTGTCGTTGCTTGTACTTGATCTCGTCCGAGTTACCAGGCAGGATGACAAGCTTGGTATTTCTTTCTGTAGAACTGTTAAATTGGACCGGGTGGGATTCGAATATAACGTGCAACTCTTGTTAGCCCTTCAGGCTGGAGAAATTCGGAATCCATTTATTAGAATATTTTCGTTGGAAACGTCGATTTCAAGCGTTTTGACTGGAGAAACTTACTGGGTGGCGCATCGTCCTGTGAATGTCCAATTTTTTTTTTTTTCAGAAAAAGCAAGATCTGAAATTAGGCGGAATTCGAACCCGCTACTCTGCCTACTCCCCCCCCCCCCCACGCTTCACCCCGGGCTTTTTTTGGTTTAACACCCTAAAAATTCGGGTTTTTTTTCCCGGGGGGG